CTGCTTGTTGCAGATCCTCGCCGTTGTGAATCCAAGAAATTTGGAGGACCTGGTGCTCGTGCACGCTACCAGAAGTCTTACCGTTAAAATTGGTCTCTAATCATGTGGCAGTCAATAAACAGAAAGAATTTGATAATTTTCATGTTTCTAAATTGCTTTTTCTTGAGTGAATAGATTTTTTCACTGTGTGTTAAATTGATACACAGAGTGATTTATTTGTATTACAGTAGAACCAGAGGGTTGATGGCAATTGTTTTTTTTATCCTTTCATAGTAATTCTGGATAGGTAGGTAGGGTTTTAGGAGTAAAGAAAAGCTTCTGTTGAGGAATGTGTGGTTATCCAAACATAAAGAAGTCTCAAATCCTGGATTTTGCAGGCACATGAAACAACAGAGTGGTTCATGGACAATTTCAGTCTTTGCCTATATGGTAGTTGTCAAAACCAAAGTAATTACAGGGGCAGGGGAGGGGAGGTGTGTTAACTCTTGCATTACCAGAAAATGCAGAGACTGAACCCTGGGCTGGTACATCTAAATGTAGGAAACTTAAAATACTTCAATATAGTATTTTAGAAATCTAAATCAAGAATTTTGTATTTTAAGATTAGGTCTGAGGCATTAATCCTTCAACCACGTGTTCACACGGTACAAGCCCAGAGGAGTAACTGCTTATGTTATGAGCTAGGTGAGGCAATTTGAAAGCCTTGGAGGGAGAAAGGGTGAAAAAAGTGAGTTGAAAAGTAATTTTCAAAAATTTGGCTACAGGATGTGCATATTAAATGTAGGGGAAGTTTTAGTTCCTGTCTATTTACCCAGGGACACAAATTCTGAGGAAATGTGGGATGAGCCATCAAGAGTCTTTGGAAGACTCATTCTGTCCTTTGGAAGAGGTGCAATTAAGGGAGTGAGGCTGTGGATACAAACTGACCCAACTGGTGTCAGTACAGTCCTAAGCTGTTTCCTGTGCTTGTAAACCAGTTTGGAGTGGAAGTGGAAGAAATGCTAGACACAGAGCCCAGCTACTGCTTGCTCTCCAAACCTGGTATTTTAATGCCTCTGTATGCTTGTATGGCAGTGCTGGGGTTGTCATAGGGGCACCTTGGTGCTTGAGATTTTTATTGGGCTTTGTCTAAGCATTTGTCATGAGATGTCTGCTTTTTTAATAGAAGAGTATACTCAGAGTTACTCAATAGTTAAATGTGTAGCAAACAAATTCCTTCTAAAAAAGGAATGCTGCATCCATCTCCCCATTTTAGCTGTAAGTTTCTGCCACAAAATGACCGCATTCCATGATTTGAATAGAAGTGCAATGCTCATACTCAAACCTCTCATGCTTCTGTTGAAGCAAAGGGGAGTGTGCTATGTTCTATCACCAGTTTACATACCAGGATTATTTGGTTTTACACAAAGCAAATGGGATACTCCATCCCAGATTCTTCTTTGGCAAGATGCATGATCTGCTATCCTGAGTCCCTCTTTCCTGCACTCTTAAGCTCCTGGGCTGTTGAAAGTCGCCGTGCTCAGCCTCCTGGCTTGGTTTTCCAAGGGAAAGATGCTATGCAGAGCTAACTTTTCATTTTGATCGCTTTAATTCCTATGGGTTTTATGAAGACTTGTGTCTTGATGTTAATTAGCTTCAGCTGAGGGAAAATAGTCTCTAGTTGTTTGGCTGTGTGACTGAAAAGTAATGGCTCACTCATTGCTTAGGAAATGCTTCCTGGCCTGCCAGTTGGCACATACATACTTTGTGCTGTGGCTTGTCCAAAGCTGATTCTTGTCTGGCTGTTAGATCTGTGGGATGGAGAGGAAAAGAGATGATGCAAAATTGTGCAAAGTTGTGGTGTGAAACTTAATGAGGCAAGGGGAGATGGAAGACATGATGCCAGTAACCTTAGGGGTAGATTTCACCATTATGAGGAAGCCTGATGGATCTGTTTTTCTGCTCACAGAACAGCTTGTAACAATTGGGGATTATTGTTTTGCTGTTCTTTTGTGGAAAGACTGAAAATAAAACTTGCATTGCTACTAATATATTCAGAGATGGTATCTGCATGCCATTTCTTAAACCAGAAGACTCTTAACATAATAAAAATGCTTTCTGAACGGAACTCTAATCCTATAAAAATGCCCCATTAATCCTGCAGAGTGATGTCATTCTCACACACTTGCTTTCTAAATGAGGAATGTTTGTAGAATTGGACTGCTGTCTGCCTGGATAGCTGAAAATTTTTATTCTGAGAAGTTCCTTACTGATCACCCACTAGAGGGCTTAACTTCATTGGGAAACTAACCACTGTAAAGTTTGAATATGTTTGTAAAAATGTCTCCTTTCCTCATGTTCTGATTCTGCAGGAATGGTAATCAAGCACTTGTCATTGAGCATCCACTCTGGACAGAGAAATGCATCCCCAAATAAATAGTGAGAGTTTGATCTTCAAACCATTAGGAAGGTTCTTGAGCGGCTTGGGAGATGGTTTCCAGAAAAGAGAAAATGCCCCCAGCCTCGTGTTGTCCAGCTCTTTCATTGGTTTCACCAAAGCTAATCCTTAGGAAGATCATCTGTGCACAACAAAATGTGGCCTCACTTGAATTCTTCACTGAAAATACCGTACTTTGTTAATGACAATGGGCCCACTTTCAAACCAGGGTAATCTTGTGCCCATGGCATGGAAAGCAATTATTATCAGTTGTTTATAATCCTGATGAATGTTGTGACCTCTATATATTTAAGTCCTCTCAAACATCATACTGGAAAATTTATAGAAAATTTATCTTGACTTCAATGTGCAAATATATTACTGCTGGAATATTTAAATTTTATTTTTGAAGAAAACATCTGTAACTTAGAAATGTAACACTGGCATTTTTAAAGTGTGGACAAGTGTGTTCTGTGTTGTGCTTGTTTTCTTACAAAAGCAATTATTTTCTAGTGCATTTTTTTCTGTTCAAGTTTTTCAGTAGTGCCCGTCTGGGAGTATTCTAATTCTTGCGTAGATAACATGTTTTGTTGCCTTGATATAATTTGATTTGATTTTTTTAATCTCAATATAGTCCTCCTTACAGTTACAGTTCAAAGTACTTGGCTGAATAATTCTTTTTCCTTAGCTGACATCCTTAATGCACTTTGGACCTAGCTGTTTCCTACCTTGCTTTGGGCTGAGATGTCTAAACTTTATGAAGCCTATTGCTTGAACTTGCAAAGTTCCTTTGCAGCTAATAAGGCTTGGCCTATTTTTAAATATTAGGAATTAAACAACTGGGAAATACTACATATATCAACTTTGCTATAGAAAAATTGTTAAAAAAACCCCACAAAACCAAACAAAACTCACAAAAAAGCTATTTTGGATAGATTTTCTTTTTTTCTGTTAAACCGAAAGAGTTAATTTCTATTAATATAACAATAACTTAGTTGTGAAACTGCATATGAAGTATGGTGAGAAATAGTCTTGAGAAAGGGAGGAATCCCAGATCAGATTTCTCAAAAGAGTCTGAGTTTCGAACACTTTCTAAACCAGACTTCAACGAGCTTGACAGTAAGGTGACAGAGACTCATGATGAAATTTGGAAGATGTAGTACTTGGTTTCATCTTGAGAGCAGTCTTGGCAGTAGGTTTATGAGATAGTGAAAATCTGTTTTCTATAAGTTCTTACATAAGTGTTCAAAGTCTGTGAATGACTACATCAGTGTGTCCTTATGACCTAGGAAATCACTTCTTTTACTTCTGTTTGTGGTGTGGAGTGGTTTTGGATTGCATACTGCAGGTGCAACTGAGCTGAGAGATGCTGTCCAGCTGCAGACAGCCAATCCATGGGAACAGCCCAAAGCCAGTCAGAAGTAAAAACAAAGCAAAAAAATACTCTTGAAATGCAGCTACAGGAATGTCAGCCTCTCAGATCCAACAGTAATAAAAATACTTCTTAAATACTCCACACAGAGTGTAGTGCTACACATCAGTTTGCAATAAGTACCCTTGTGCTATCAGTGATCCCAAACCTTCATCACTGCTGTTGGCTGCTGTGTGGACAGAGTTTTGTCCTTGTCCATGCTTGGATAACTTGGCTGAGTTTTCATTTGCTTTCTCATGTCCATCTGGGGAGCAGGAAAGAGAAAAGGCTAGAAGAAAGGGTGGGAGGACTTTTTACCCAAGAGAGGCCATCAACTTCTGAGTTTTACTTGGGTCCAACCACTCTTTCTGCAGCATGCTCCAAGGGTCTCACAAAGCGCCTCCTAGGAAGAATGGAGGGTAGGCAAAAGGTAGGCTTTGCAAAATAAAATGAGCATCAGCAATTTCAAGTAGCATTATTTGTGTTTTTAAAGCTGTGCTTTTCAATGATTCTATTTACATTATGGTAAAGCAGGCAAGGGACTTCTATTTTAAATCATGATAATTTTTAATTTTGGTAAAATTATGTTTTTATATTTTAAAAATAATTAGAAATGAAACCCTTTGGCCCTGTTGAATGCTTTCTCCTTTTTCCTAATACAAAATTTTCATAACATGATTTATTAAAACTATAATATAATTATCCTCTGAGAAGCCTTCTTCTGTGCTATAAGCAAACTATACCCAGAATATTCTTAAAAAGCCAGATGTATTATTTAATAGAAGTTCATCTCTCTCCTTCCAGGACAGGAAAAAACCAATATATTAGTATGTAAAATCATGCAGTTATAATTTATACAGTGGTATTATTTCAGTATCTTGCAAAATTATTTTGCCGTACTAAGGAGCAGAGAATAGCCCTCAACTCAAGCCTCAATGCACACAAAGGTTTGTGACGACAGAAGGATCTCTCAAACCACCATGACATGGCAACATTTCTGTCATTGTCTGCTAGGTTATAAAGGGCCGATTCAATTCAACAGGGGAGTAAGGCTCGCAGGTCTGGTGGAAGTGTAACTAATACAGACTGTGCTGAGGAGCTACCATGCATTGCTAATGAGAGACATGCAGCCAGGAAGTCGTACGCAACACTCGCAAAGCTCCTGGAGCTGTATGTAGCTACCAAGCTTGATGTCTCCTGCTCCCTTCCTCTTTTACATTGCATTGTTTATATTAATGAGTCCAATTATCTAACCTCTAAAGGATTTCAACACGCTGTAGAAATACATAGTTGTAAGATGCCATATAATCAAAGCCATTAATTTTGATAAATTCCCTTTTTCTAACTTAAACTGAAATGAACATTGTAGGAAAGCTCAGTTTAATGATACCATGGAATATATTCTTGCTTCATTCACTGCTGTCCACTTTGCAAGGTAAGAATTTAATTCCATTTTTTTTGTAGTAATACTAATTTTTACAAAAATTTTTCTAAATATTTTAATATTACAGCTAGTTCTATTTCTATCATATTTTTTAACCTTGCTGGCATTTGTAAATGCAGTTTAAACAAGTATATATCACCATTCTCTTTCACAGGTGTAGAAACTAAAACATAAATCTTTTTTAAGAGTCATTTTTTATGTCTGAATTTGTTAGAATAGAATTATTTATGAACAAAATCTAACTTTCTTACCTTTATTGCTATTATTGTCAGATGAGTAGCATTTAATGATTTTCAATGAGGTAAGATTTTGTTTGAACTGAATGCACCTGCAGATTGTTTAAACATTTTTAGACTGCTAGGGTAAATAATTGCTCTTCTAATTATAGAAATTATCTTATTTTCTATATAATGCAACTGGATCCTATAGATAGTTTCCTTGCTACAATTATAAAGATTTCTAATGTAATAAAAAAAAATTTTTTGTGATTTTGTTTGGTTTTGTTTATTTGCTGGCTTGTTTTAAGCATGGACTCATTTTAAATTATTTACAATTGAGTCTTACAAACAACAGTCAGAAAGATACTATAACCCTGGAGGTTTGATTCTGGAAAGCTCTGAGTACCTGTTCTATTTTACCTGTTTACCTTCTCTATTTTTTTGTTCTGAGCCTCTAAAGAACTATGAACTCTTTTCACTTCTTCATGGTAGCATGTACCAGAATTACAACCATGAAAACCTGCAGGAGAAGACTGTATGAGAGAACCAGATTCTTAGGAAGGAGTGCATATAGTGCTACATTCCTTGGATGCAGAGTTTGTACAAAGTTGCCCTGGAAAACTTGGGATTGTTAAACCCTAAAATTCAATAATGTTGTTTTAAACTTGACATTGCTTGCCAAGGGCAGAGTGATGCTGTAGAAAAAAATGTTTACCTTCATGATTTTTTAATCGACAGGATCTTATTGCAAGCTTTCTGTTTTGAGAAGAAATTTGAGGTAAGTTTTTATTCCTTATTTGTCAAGTCCTACAAACATAATAAGAATGAGCAAGTGCAATGCAGTGCAAGTTAGAAAGTAAAATATAGACTTGAATTCAATGTGTAAAATGTCATCTACATGTAGGTTGGATGTAGAACACACTTTCAGAATGTTTACAACTCATTTCCAAGTATTTATACAATGGGCATGGGTCCTCTGTTTGAAAAATGGAGGTCCTTATGAAAAATGATGCTTCTATGGTCTTGAGAAAGCTTAGAGGAATAATGGAATGAAAACAGCATGAGATCATGATTTCACAACTGGAAAAATACATTAAATGAGTATCCATCTACAGTTTTAACTGCATAATAAAATCCTAGCTGCTATTTGAAGCACAGAGAAGTAAGTGCTATACAGCCTTAAAATAAACATTTTCAATACAAATTTTCACATAGAAGCTGAAATCCAAACAAAACCCAAACTAGGCAATGTTCCTGATCCCATTGAATTAAATGGGATCTATGCCATCAATTTCAATGAAGGCATCAAGTTGGATGTAGCTTTGTGTGTCTCATGACTTCTAATACATCCAGGGGACACACGGGAACGTCAAATGATATGCCATAATATGGAGTGATGATAGAACTAAGTGTGTTTTATAGTTTGATGCCCTTGCTTCTAAACTTAATCACAAATTAAAGTTGGCTCCAGCTGGAGAGTCATCTCTTGCTATCAAAAGTACCATCAGAGCATATTCAAGCAACACTCTGGGGAATTTGTAGCCACTGACATGCGGCATGAAGTAAATATGAAGCTGGTTTACAATTTTGTATCCTGTTGTGTAAGTCTGTTTTGCCTATTTATGTCTCCCCAATGCTCTAGGTACCTCCCTGTGCAAGCAGAGATTGGAGTGCTGTCCAATTCTGTAAAATGAGACACAGACAAAATAAAAAAAAAAGAGAAAAGAGAAAAGAATCACCTTTTTAAATGTTAACCCAAGAAAGACCTCTTTGATAAAGTGATAGTAATCAGAGAGAAACACTTCTCTCTGGGGACTTGCTTATTCAGGTTGCTCCAGGGACCTTTGATAATACAAGATCCTTTTTGTTTTCTTCCAGAAATGAGTCTAATGCAACTCGACAGAAAAGAGATCTTGTAACAGCCGAGGTAGGTTATACCTCCAAAAGCAGGAGGGTGGGGAAACCCTCCTCCCTTTTCTGCTCTGGGCCTTTGCCATCCTTACAAATGACCCTTTGTGGGAAGATGGGTTGCAGTAACAGGAGGACAGTGAGGAGGAGGAGCAGCTACTCCCCACCTGCTCACCCCGTCTGAGCCGTGGCCTAATGCCTTCATTCTCCCTCAGCAAAGCACTCAGTGAGTGACCTGCCCTGCCGAGCCGACTGACACACACCACGGGAAATAAACCCGGGACATCTCTGTCTTTTGTGGGGGTGAACAGGATGTGGAAGGCTGTTTGTGTTTGTGAGAGGCACAATGGCGGCGCCACTGGCAAGGCTCTCTCCTGGACATGGAGCCCTGGCTGCTCCGGCCCAGCCCTGGTTCCCATCGCCCTGACCCCACGCTGCCTCAGTGCTGCATCCCAGCAATGTTGTGCTGAAATTCAATCCTAAATAGAGGAATCTTGTTCCCCCACTTGTACACACTTGGGCTATGGAGCCCAGCCAAGGGTTATGACCCCTTTGAAAGGGGTAGGCAGGAAGCCAGAGGCGGTCCCTCCTTGGGGTGTTTCAGGGAGCCTGCAGCCGAACCAGGGGTGATTTTCACCAAGACCTGTGAGGTCTGTGTGCCGCTACCGAGTCAGAATGCAGCTGCTGGGAAGCACTGCACTAAGGGGAATCAAGCCCCTGAGAGAAGCAGGACTGTGGAGGTGTCCTTGGAGGGCCCTCAGCAGGGAAGTGCTGTTGCAACAAGGACGCGCTGCGAAATGATGCAAAGGCCAAAAGCAGCTTTTCTGAGGCGGGCAGCGTGGAGTCGCTATCGGGAAAAATGGAAATGGATTTTGTTGTGCAGGGAGGGAAGGGACCCTCTGCAGCTACCATGGGCATCAGGAATAATTTTGGTGCAGGGAGCCTTCCAAGTGGTGATTCAATGAAATCTATTTCAGGTTGATTTTAAGCAGATTGTACTACTTGGAAGCATCCCACAGCATATTTCCATTTGGAAAAGGGAGGTTTTTGTGTCATTGTGAGACGTATTGGCAAGACTAACCCTAAAATGTTCCTTGCACACTGTTGTTAACTTTGGGATCAATCAGTTCCAACTTGAGATGTGGAGAATGAGTGGAGTCAGGAGGGAAGAAAGAAATTAGCGTACAAACAAAGACTAAAAAGTTTCTTCACTTAGTTGAGCAGATGAAGGCTGGCACATAAGTCTGTGGGGGCTGGAGAAAGGTAACTGCTTTTCCATAGAACATCAGATAAGAAATAAATAAAAAACAGAGGGAAGAAGAGCTATTTAAGCAAAAAGGACCAGATTTATAAAGGAAGGGATTTAAACTGGCCGTGAATAAATGTAAGCGGGAAATATTTAAGTACTTGGCACTTCATCCTGGTAAACTTTCCAGTCAGACTAGTGGGGGCAAAAGCCCCAGAGTACTTTCAGTCTGGAATGGGATCAGTTCTTGGAAGGGAAAATGTGATGTAACAAGCTTTAGTGTCAGAATGCTGGGCCAGATGCAGGGCTTCCTCATAGTGTGAGGCTCCCTGTTCCTAAAAAGGAAGATCTCCTAGAAAAGAGATCAGCTTTCTCTTTTGTTTGGGATGAACCAAAATGCAATTCTGAAGGATGTCAAGGCGAACACAAAATCCATTGCAGCTAGATTTGCCATAGTGGGATGATCAGGGTGCAGCATAGAGCATGAGTCAGGGGAGCAGAAGCAATAGAAAGAGCTCTTCAACTAGGAAGACTATGATTATTTGAGTGAAATATAAATGCAAAACTTCCCATGTGGAACCTTGGTGATTTACTGGAACTGGAGGGCATGGATGAGAAGCCAGTAGTGATCTCACATAGCAGATGTATCTTTCCCATCTCTTCAAAAGCCACTGTGCTTCTCCTTCCCAGGCACAATCCCTCCAGCAGCACCCATGACTGTGCCATGCACTGGCTGAGATGCAAATTACTCTTCTGTATTATAAGTCCCAACCCAGTGTTTGAGTGCAAGGCCTCAGGCTTTTATCAATTAATTTGTAAACCACAAACACCCTAATTTTGCTCTTATGTTTCTCTGACAGGTTCAAGCTGCCTCTCGGTTGCACCATCATGGGGCCCTGATGCGAAGCCCACCAGGAGGTCAGTGCTGTGCTCCTCACCTGCAGGAGGAGAGAGCCCTGAAAATGATGCCATCCTCCCCTGTGTTACCATGGGCTGTGGAAGCCCTCTTCTTCACGTCCCTACAAAACTCTGTCCTGTCTCATTTTCTCATTTTCTCCATGTTAAATATGGAAAAAGAAATCGGTTAAAATTGTGCTTTCAAAATAAGGCCTTACAACCAAATCTGAACAGCTAATGAAACCAATCTTTTGAGATTTTGGGTTTTTTTTAAAGTTTAGCTTGATTACAAATTTTCATTTCTGCCACTTTTTTTCTGGTCTTGTCAGAGGATGGAAGTCCGTCAGAGAGGTTTATAACTGGTTATGCAAAGAGAAAGGAATACTCAGGCAATGAGCATGAAGCTGATCCTGTAGGAATTTAAGCATTGGATAAACATGTAAAGCAGGCTCAAGTTACAGAAATTGTTTACAGAAAAGTTCACTGTATGCAACTTCAGTTGGAATTTTGCTATCTTTCTTGGAAAATGCCTGGGCAGGTGGCTTCTTTTGCAGTTTTCTATGTAAATGAATATATGAAATTTTACAACTCAAAATTCTAAGAACAACAAAGTATTTCCCCATTAGTGCTGTTATAGGAACAATAGTTTTCACTTTGTTGGTATTTTGAGAGTACCTATGTATATTTGGAAAGCAGTTCTTAAATGGAAAAAATTCAAAGCTAAGCATGAAAAGGAATTTTCACAATGATGGATGGTATTCCTAACCACTGGCAGCTTCTGTGTACCTTTAGAGTAAAGGTCCCATTTTTTTTCCCATTTAATATCACTAGCAGCTTTGCTGTGCCTCAATGGGAGTGGAAGGGCCTGTTTATTTCATTTACTTCCTGCCTTTTGCGATGCTTTTTAAATTTCCATCAGAAACATTGGAAGCTTTTGTATGTATGTAGGGTCTTAATCCTACTCCAAGAAAGCAAGCAGCCATGTGTAATAACTGGTGAAGTTTTGCTTTGGGACTAGGTTTCTTTTCCACTTTTGGGGAATAATGATTTAGGCCCAACTCAATGAATGATTAGTAAAGGACAAGGATGTCTTAGCTTTCAAACAGACTATAAAACCATTTAATGTAACTGCTTTTGGAAAAAATTACTAATTATAACACAAAACAAGCCATTCCCATGGAATCTAAAGTCTCTGACTCCAGTCACCTCTGAAGTAGAAATAACCTTTCAGCTGACTTTTTTTTAGCATGTGAGGAAGGTTGTTTAAGACTGGTTTTGGCTCTCTAAAATATATATTCTGGCCTGTTCGTAAACTGAATGTACCATTTGTAGTAATGTTTAGGAGGGAGAAGCTGAATATATGTATAAATTTTGCTGAATTTAGTGAATTAGAATGATCTGTGTCCTGTATATTTTGAGATCAGCAGGACTGGGATTTGATTTCTTTACATGGGAACTTGACCTTTTGTTTGCTTGGAGGAGGTTGACCTTTTGCTCCTTTGTTAGTTTATGAGTCTCAAACCAAATGAGAACCTTACTTCTCTTTTAACCAAGGAACAAGAAGGATAAAATTAAGCATACGTTAAAAAATGGAGATAGCTGTTGGTTAATTTTCTCAGCTAGTATAGCGGCTCACGGTTTAACAATAAAAGGATTTAGCTGGGATCTCTCAGCCTGTTTGCAAAATACTGTATCTACTAAAAGGCTGGAATGCTTGCTTACAGGCTCATGTCCAGAGGAGTGCCTTAATGGAGCAGCCTGCACAGAGGCAGGTGACTGTGACTGTCAGTTATTTCAGGCTCAAGGAAGCAGGTGCCAAATTGGTAAGTTTTTTGGGTCAAAATAGTTTGGTGTCAGATTTCAAGGAGATTTAGGATACAGATTTTGAAAAGTATACTGATACCAGCATATTTTTGATTATGAGAGAGGTAGCAGGCCTCTCTCGTTTGGCCAGTAGGAGGATTAAAATTATATACATTAGGGACATATAGAAAGCAACATCAGAAATGCCTACATTCCAGCACTTGGGCTGTAATGATATATAGATACCACAACAGATAGACCATTGTCTAGTAGATCAGTAACCAGACAGCTTTTTTTTATAGTTAGCTGAATAACCAAAAAACCACTGCATTTCTTAATTTCTTTTAACAAGCAGTGACTTATTGCAGATTAAATTACCCACTATTTAAATACATTAGTTTCTGTAATCTGCTGTGTGTAGGGATCAACTGTTGTCTTCCAGGATGTGCAGAATATCTAAATCTCTTACCTCTACTTGTAATTAAAATGTCTCCACTGAAGCAAATAAAAAAACCTAATGGTGATTTCACATGGCTAAAACTGCATATTTAAGAATAATAAAGAGTGCTGACTTTATTTAAAGTAGAAGACATAAGTTTATCTTTTGTACTTGCTAATTTTTGATGACCATGCTTTGTAAACTCAGTGTGTTCTCTTCAGTACCTAACACTGGTAAGGACCGAGATGGGATTTGCAAATCGTGGGGACAGTATAATTTTGAAACTTTTGATGGCATCTACTACTACTTCCCAGGAAATTGCTCCTATATATTTGCAAAAGACTGCAGTACTCTGGAACCCCAGTATACTGTTTGGGTAAGTATGTAAAGATGCCTTAGAAATTAGTATGTAAGTAAATATAAAATAAATAAGTAAAATAAGTAGAGAGACAATAAATGTACCAAACTGAGCATTAATTACTTAAATATAAAACTGTGGAAATGTGGAAAACTTCTGGAAAAGCCTAAACCTATGTGTAGTAACATAAAATACTGATGAAATTATAATCAAAAGAGTCAGCATATTAAAAATACTAATATTAAAATATTAATAAAGTACTTTTTACTCCTCCGATCCTTAATGGGATTTCTGCTCTCTCCCTTCTGGGGCCAAAAGTGGGTCTTAAACCAGACCCCAGAAACTTCAATAAACTTCAGCTATCAGGCTGTAAAAAACACTGAGTTACTGAGTGAAATGCAGACAGCTATCACTTGCCTACTAGCAAGGAACATGGCCCTAATTCACAGCTATTGGCACTCTATAAGGATCTGCCTCCCTGGCCAATGGGATTTGCTCCCTGTCTTGCCCCCTCCAGGGATTTGCATTCTAATTTTGGATTGCCTCTACGTCATGCAGATAAGATTAACTGCTCAAAAGCTTCATCTTGACCTATGTATGGAAAGCTCTCTTTTTAGTAATTTCTTCCAATTGCTGACTGTCCATGGTTAATGACTGTGGGTCAGGGAGAGTTCAAACCTATACCCTCTTAGAAGATAGATGACCTGTTTGTCAGGCTGGTGGTTACTGTGGGGAGAGGATACAATGCCATTATATTACCTTATTCACAATGGTTGGGATTGGTGCTAATTGGGCAGGGAAGAAGGGACAAGAGAGGTCCTCATTCTGAGCCCGTGTGCATAGAGTGGTCAAAGGCATAAGGGCAGATCTAGATGCTGATTTCTGCTCTGAGGACTGTTCTTAATTATAAACAGATGACCTCTTCTTCCCTCAGATAACAGCACTTAGTGAAGATAAATCTACCATTAAAACTGGCATTTCTACCTACTTAAGTTACAGAGAGACCCTGTTACACTCGCCTTTCACAATTTCATTTTAATTATTTGGGTTCTGTATGCAGCTGTGACCTCTAAAAGGTTTTCAGAAAGTGCTGTAGTGAAGTTCAAGATTATATTAAAATCTGGAATCAATATGCCAGTGTATTCCAGTGGTTCTGGAAAGAGAGAAGGTTCTATTCAATTGCTGGAACTAATGTAATGTTTTACTAAAAACTGAAAATGTTTACTCAGCATAGTCATAAGTAATGTGAGACTGTAGACTGACTGGGCAATGGAGAGAAAAAATCCATGCCAAATCCTAACATTATGGTCCTTCTGGCTTTAATAATCCACCCTCAAGAGAAGAACACATAAGAATTATTTTGATTTTCCTTTATTGTTTTTCTGTCTTGGGACAGGTTTACATAGAAACCATCTGCCAGGGCTAATTAACTTTTATGTTGTCTTTAATATGATTATCTTTATACATGTAAAAATTCCTAATGCTTTTCCTGGTTTAGTTTATTTCACCCAAAGAAACAGTAACTGGTTTTTACTTCCAGATTTAGTGTCAGTCAAGGAAGATTCATTCAAGTATTCATGAGCACTATATGTGTTTACTCACAGATATTTTCTTCAAAACTGTTACATTTACAGCCTTCATCACTATGTTGGTAAAATGTTCCCAATTACAATTTTATTTAGTTTCACAGCACTGCAATTACAGTGCATTCACAGCATTACATTAAATGCTTCACAGCATTACAGTAAACTGGTAATGAAATTCCCATCCTTCCCAGAGAATGATAACACACACAGTAACAGAAGTCATATTTGAGCTATCTAAACTCTGTCTATATTTTAATCTGGGTAATGGTAGGCATCTAAGATTCAAAACACATTCCTCTCTCTCTTCAGTGATGTCTAAAATGAGCTCATAGGTGTTTGAAGCACTATAGGACATCCTGCAGGTTTGAGTGGCTCATTCCCACTGAGATTAATGAAAACTATGTAAGTTTTGCTCAAACACAAACCCGCAGTTTTCAAGTCCTGAGAGTACTGTATTCAAGCAAGGCAAGTTGATATGTGACTAAACCAATCCCCTGGCTCATTATGCTGTAGAGAAGCACACTTCAGCAAAGTCTGCCCTTCTCCATTAGCAGTGCTGGAAAGCCAGTGCAAAATGGATTTTAACAGATCCGTGTAATTTAGATGCCTGCTGTAATCTGTGGGAGCACTTCCAAATCTCAGGAAATCCTGAGTGGATGCGGAGGGCATGCTGTAGTTAAGCTAGTACCAGTCTCAGCTGGCAGGGAGAGCACTGCTATTACACTGAGGTTCTGTATTGGTTTGTAATCCTGTTTTATAGATCAGATCTCTAGAAACAGAGAAATAGGGGTGTTTTTTCAGTGCAAGTAACAAGCTCCTGCTTTGGCCTCTATAAGCTAGCTCACTAGTTTTAGATCACTGGCCTGTGATGGCATGCACTATTAAACAGTTGTTGTATTTCTCAGAAGTATTGTGTAGTGTGAACTTTGAGTTTTGCATATCTTTGTCATTGTGCCTTTGTAATATTCTAGGTATTTATTTGTAAACCTCTTTCAGTAACTAGAGCATAAAATTTTTAAATATCATAAATGAATTCAATAAAAATGGTGCAAAATTATTGAGGGCAAGCATTTATTCTTATTTTGTGTCTATTTTTTCCCTCAAAGGTTCATAACAGTCCTCACTGTTACGGCTCAGTATATACTTGTCATAGGTCCATCAGCTTATTTTTGTCAAACCAAGAAGAAATAATGATTTCAGGACATGAAGTAAGAAAAAATGGAATCAGGTAAGTGTTCTAATGGTGAGTTTTAATATTTTATTGCAAAAAGATAATGTGGAGTTTGGGAAACGGATGCTTCTTTCACAATCCGCCTAAATCAATTTGTTCTGTACCTCTATTGATCCCTTGTTGAATTTGGGCTGTGAGCAGCTGTAACAGTACTGATGTAATACCTGAGTGGGGATAGAATACACTCCCTGCATTTATTGTGTTCAGCTTCTCATCTGTAACCTAACAATCATTTATTCTGCTTTTTACAAAGTCTGTGTCAGTCAGTCCCAGCTAGTCCCTGGTGTATCCTGACAGCATTGTGCAAGGCTATCATTATTTATTATTGGTAACTATAATTAATATAAGATATGATCTTCTTTTAGATGAGTCTGAATTGGTTAAAGATCTTGAGCCCCTTTGGGGCAAAAGCTCTACAAAATATCTCTGAGGTACATCAAACCTCCAAATTTAGCTTTCTTTTTGTAAGTAAAAAGATATGTCCAAGACTATCATAAGTATATTTTACTGGTAGATAAAGTACAGAAATTTTAAGAAAGTTGTTGAGGGGCTTTTGTCATCCCCTGTAATGCCTTTAGTATCTGAGAATGGTCGCTATGGTGATACTGTTCAACCCAACAGAACAACTTTGGAAGACCAGGAATGGATCTGTGCTTATTGTTGTCCAGTGGTCTTTCACCAAAGGAGGAAGAGCTACAACTTTTTTGTCAGTGGTATTTTCTGTACTGCAAGTTTCTCCATTTGCAGATGTCTAAGCCAGTGCTGACCCAGTGCTCAGAAGGGCTGCTGGTGGCCATAGCACCATATAGCTCCTTGCCCAATGCAGCATGCTAGTGAACTCAAGTATTCCTCAATGTGGTGTGCCAGGCTTTGAAAGTAAAGATGCATTATTCTTTCAAGCCTCTCATTTGTACAACTGATAGGTGTATACAACAGAAAGCACTCGTTTTTGATGGTTGATACAGAGAAGTAAACATAAGATAGTAAAAACATGACGATGAATTGAACGGAGTGACTTGTGTACACCCAGGAAAAAGTGTTTTTTGAATTAGAAGGTGATGTGGTAAATTTCTAGCATGAACCTCATCTCATCTCATCTGAGACCTTTGATGTAGACTATATTTTTCCAGATTAATATTGCCTCAGACAGTTGGAAATGCTTTCATTGAGAGACTGGCTGACTATATTCTGGTGAAGACTACCTTTGGTTTTTCTCTTGCTTGGGATGGAAACTCTGGTATTTATATTAAGCTGACAGAAGATCATAAGGGAAAATCTTGTGGCCTTTGTGGAAATTTTAATGGCAATAAATATGATGACCTGATACTTCAAAATAGTAAGTAAATAGCTTATCCTTTGTGTGAACAGTTTCCATGTTCACTTAAAATGCAGTGCTGTATAAATATAATGCTGGAAAAAGGCAGTCCTGTGTCAGTTATTTCAGTAAAATAGTATATCTGCTCTACTTCTCTTCTTCATTAAAGATGCAAAGGTCCTAGTTCAAGAAAGTATTTATATGCATTTAGGCATCTTGCTCAGCAAAGCACTTGGGGTGTGTTTATCCTAGCTGACAAAAATGCCTTCAAACAATAAATATATAAACAAATACTTATGGTTTTCTCTGTGTTTAAAGATGGAGGGAAGAGCAACATCTTGAGTCATTCTTTTATAGCAGCATCATAAAAATCCTAGTTGAAATAAGTAAATTTCCAAGCTGTTTCCTGGGAGTTCCTTGTATCTCCTTGCTGGTCTGGTGGACTATGGGCCTCTGACTACCCTCTGGGATGAGGAGCTGCTTTGTGCTGTGTCTGAGGCAGAGATGAGTTTTTAAACTTGTATTCTGTAACCTAGGTAGGGAGGACTTCATGGGGACTTTTGTCCTACTTGAAACTAATGTGAATAAAAAAAGAACAAAAAAAAAAGAACAAGAACAAGCTTGAAAATGTGAGGATTTTTCTCACTCTCTTATACAAACAAAATAAGATTATCTTACTGTTACCATTAACTGCTGGGAGAATCTAGTCCAATGGCTCTGCATGTTCTCAAATCACAAAAGGTGTCCCACAGTAATTTTTTTCCCTGTTTTCAATGGTTGGTAGTGGAGCTTTTAAACTTTCTTAGGGAAGGAATGCTCATTATACCCATCTTTGCAGTCCTTAAAAATCTGCTAGAGTATAAATTTTTTATATCTTTTCTGCCATAAGAGCAGTAAATTTTGTGCAGTGACTTCTGCACACCAGAGTACAGTATGCTTAATAACTAGTTAAGTCTGCTGATGTGTAATAATAGAGAAAAGTAATATTTGGAGGAAATAAAGAATTCATGTAATCTTTCAAATTCAGTAATTTCAGTATCTTTAGATGCATTATCTGTTATAAAAGATTTCCACCTCATACCTGTCTTCATTTTCAGAGCTAAATTTTTTCACCATGATAATTACATCTAGCATTTTTCTTTATCAGAAATGATAGCATTATTGCAGTTTACAACTGAGAGACAAATGAATCACTTTAATATTGAACCAGCTGTATAAATGGTGCCTTGACTGTGAAAATTCAAAGCATGAAATTCTGAGATCTTCACAAGAACAGATTGCTAATTCAGATCCAAGCTGCAACATTTTTCTAAGAATTTCTAAATCTTATCAATCATTTGATATAATGATTTCTCTCTCCCAGCTAAACTACTTCCCTGAGTAGTGTAAAGGTAGCTCTTACATCTATCCTGAGTCTTCCTGTGTCCAAATGCTCATTATTTGTAACGCTTAAATAAATAAGCTGCTAAGAGGCATATCATATTCCATTTCAAAGTACAGTTTAAAAAACCCCTCATTTTCTGTTTCCTTATCTTCACCTTTAATGTCATCTTTATATTGCTTTAATATGCAAGACTGTGTGTACAGAACTGTTTCAGGGACAATGATTTTATTTTGTGGTATTTTTTAAAGACCTAGAAGTTTTTTTTTTTAAGCCATGTAAAAAAGTACATAAAGTTTTTTTAATGTTTTAATAGAAGAAGAGTTATATCGACAGGTTCACCTCCAGATCAAATTCCAGCCTTTTATGTTTGGGAAGGGTTTTCTGCAGAAAGAACTACTCTGTCAGAGAGGAAGAAACATTTTAAGTCTCCCTCACTTATAAGTAAAACAGACTGAAGGTTAGAAGCTTATAGGAATTTATTTGTGGAGATCCAAGTATATATATCTCATTAGTGTGCTTTGTGGCTTTCCACATTGCAGTGTCCAGCTTTGTACCTCTTGTGCTAGAAGTTAGATTAAGTTTTCTATAGTACAGCTCTGTGAAAAGGAAAAACCCTCTAGATGATTTCATTTCAATATCTTGTCTCCTAGTTGTGTGTAGATATAGATAACCATAGCATAGCATAGAAATTTAACGTCAGATTCTTCAAAGTGGAGGCAATATACCCTTTTAAAACTAATTAAGAATGCAGAGGAAATGTAAAATTTAGTTCTTGCTGCTAGTATATGGAAATTTTGTGTCTGTTTTTTTACTGCCAACCTTCTTGTATGTTTGTGTATCTAAGCCTGTTGCCATGACTTCCAGTCATGCATGTTGTTCATTAATTCTCCCATGTCCATGCTGTGAGGAGAGCTGGGCATCTCATGAGTGTGTGTTGTAGGGCTCTTCCACAATAAGGGAAAAGGAGGGAGCTAATAGCACTAACTGATCTTTGTGAAACATGATGAAAAACTTCAATTGCTTCAAAGAAATATCTTATTTCTTAAGTATTCAATGCCTTACACTTGTCATTATTTGTATATTTGTTATGAAATTATCAGCTATTGCACTTAAAATAACCCAAGCCAACACCTTGTCATGTATTTTTCAATATTTTTATTTAAGTGTAGTGTAAAATACAACCTGAAATAAAGAAGGTTATTATTTTTCTTTATGACTCATGCTGTGAAATGCTGTTTTATGTTTTTGTGCTGAGAATTTTTTAATTGTTGCTCTCCCAATGTTTTTATGCAGTAGGTGAATATACAGAAGATATTGCTGAATTTGCAAATAGCTGGGCTGTGCAAGCCTCAGATGATATAACTTGTGTCCCTACTGCCTCGGATTTTTCCAGTCCTTGCTCAGCCAATGCAGAATCCACTGAGGTAAAGTATTTATATTTTATGTATATACATAGATCCATGCATATGTATGCATCTATTTTCTTAATCTTCCCAGCTACTGCTGGTACAAGAATCTAACAATATACACAATGTTGAAAAAGCCTTGAATGCATTGAGGCTTTGGGAAAGATTCAGATTAGGGCTGTTGCTAGGGAGTGCCTGAAGTTCTTCATACGTTTAGCTTAAAAGTACAAAGGCTCAGATTGGATGTGCCAAGTGGCACCAGTCTGCTGGCAGAGCTCTTCATTACTGCATTAAACTTGGGCTCAGTTTCCAGTTCTGGCATCTTACACCTCATTATGTTAGTGACTGTGAAATACTGCAGAAATAGTTGCAGTCAGCTACTGCATTGACACAAGATGCTTTTCTTGGTAATTTCACACTTTTTCATCCCGGGTGGTTTAGGACCAGCATGCAGTCAAGCAGGCCAAGGTATAGAGGACAAATTTTAGGAAGAATAATGAAAGAGATGTAATAGTAAATTGAGACAGCACCATGCTCAAATTTTAATGGGGATATAAAGGACCTTAGATTGGGGAAACAAAGCTAAAGAGAATGATGCCTGTTCAGAAAGTTTTGGCTAACTTCCATTTACTGATTCTCCTTAATGCACAGGAAATATTCTTCAAGTGCCAAATATTCCTACAGTTTCCTTTTCTCAGCTGTCATGAAAGTATAGATCCGTATTCTTATATTTCAAGCTGTATGAATGATCTCTGCAGGTAAAGTACTGGAATTCTTGTGTATTTGATCTTGACATATGAAATGAATGCTCAGTCTTTTGTGTGGGACCAGAATGAAAGAACACTGAGGGAAGTTGGGAAGAACCAAGTTCAAAATGAAAAGAGACGGGATTTCTCAGGGGGTGATTTGTGTGGGAACAAAGGGCACAGAACAAGTCTGACAAGGGTTATTTTGATTGCTAAAGGCTTACATAGATTCAAGGAAACACTAGACAAATAAGTGGAAGGTAAATTCATGGAGCATCACTCATGACATAAGATGAGCTGCTAGTCACAAAAAACCCATGAAACTTGTATCTGGAGGCCCTGAAACAGAACTACACAGAGATGATACTAGGAAGGAATCTCAACAATACTGGGGGAGCTGGGCCAGTTGTCAGACAGCTGGACTGTTTTTTTATGAGTAACCACTATCATTCAAATTAGTAGAATTTTTACAAAATAGTGCCATTTATTTTAATTTTAATTCAGAGCTGCCAAAAGAAATTCAGCTCATTTGCTTTGGTGGGAGTCACACCCCCTCAGATGCTGGCACTGTAGGCAACCTGGTATTTTTCCCTGAGCTCTCCAGACTCCTGATTAGTTCTTGTCATTCAAGTTAAACTTACACTGTAGTAATTGAAGAGATAATTGGGCAATGTACCATTTTCTTTTTAGTAAGATTTTCAAATGAAGAAGTAATTGTCATAAATAAGAGGATTTTTTGCAGAGTATATAATTCTCAGAGTATTACCAGTTTAATCAAAAACACACAGAAAGGATCACAAGGCTAAACATAAGGATCACTCAGTATAATCCATTATTACTTTTTAGTTTAATTTCTGATGAATGTTTAGTTTTCTGATTTTACCGTAGAGTCAAGATGGAAGAATTTGTGTTTGTAGGCAAACATTGATGTTGCTCAGAAAAGAGATGAGTTGCCTCTGTAGGGTCTCTGTGTAACTCAGGAATTTACTGTGACTTTTGAAGAATAATGAAAACTAGTTTTTTTCAAGTAGGGTATTGAATCAGTGCTGGGGTGTTAAGGAGCGTTGGATTTTTTGTGAACAATCTGATGTGTGTTCATGTGAATTTTGTGAATGTTAAAAACCTTGAAGTATGTGTGTCTCGGAATTTAATTAATTTAGGCTTATTTTGTTTATAAAAGAGACCTCTCTTCTTGTGGCTTAGTGTCAGTTTATGAAGGCTTTTTGTGTGGCCATAGTATAGGCCAAGTATTCTTCCTATTAAGACCCATTTAATTGGATTAGATAAAGAGAGTGGGAGAGACTGATCACTGTAACAGAGTATAGTGGTGTTTGATTTGATAATAGATGTGTTGAAAGCAGAACACAAACATAATATAACATATTCTTAAGACAATTAATTTTAGAAGCATGATCCTGTGTGTTGAGAGGCAAACTCAGATGATCTGTCATAAACATGCTTATAATAGAAATGTCATGTTTATGACTAGTTTATTTTGGCATCAAATCTTCCACAGTGAATGTTGCAAGTTCAACTTTCACAGTAACAAAAGTTTGGTGGTATTTCACCACATGTGACTTACATCTGGATGAAATTTGAACTTGCCTAAACATTAATGAATGTCTTTTTACTTGATTCTGGCAAAAATGCACTATACAGCTCCTTCTGTATAGACTAAGGCAGAAATATTGTCTTTGCCCAAGGCTGTGCTGTAAATCCTTGAGCCTGTCCACGGTATTCAGTGGATAATACTTCTGGCTCTGAGAACTTCAACACAAGATCAGAAGACCACTAATAAGTTTCTTCTCATCTAAATTCAAGGCAATTGGAGACTTGAAGTTCTTACTTGAACCAGAAAGTCTTTTATCAGTGTAGGTCAGAGTTTCTCCATCATGCAGGAGGGAGAGGCCTGAGATGGGGATCTTGAGAGTGCTGAGTTGTCCATTGTCTTCACAAAAATGTCCTATTTCTCTTTCACTTCAGCAGCCCTTTTTAAAAGTAATGGACTAGTGGTTTTATTCCTTGTTGTAATATTAAAATGAAATAACTTCTTGTGAGATCAAATGATAAAGCCACAATGGTATATTCAGTATAGCTCATTCTTTTTTTATATGTTCCCTACGTGCCTTTATGACCAAGTGGTGTCAACTATGCGTGAAATATCCGGTGCCGTGTCATAAGGCAGAAATTTGTAGATGGGATTTGTGTTCCTTGATTATTCTTTTATTTATCATTTCAGAGTGGATGACGATGAAACATACTGCAGGGCAGTGACAGAGTACGCTAGAGCATGCTCTCACGCTGGGTCCCCGGTGCGGGACTGGAGGGATGACTTTCCTGCCTGTAGTAAGACTCTTTAATAAAGCATGCTATGTGACCTTTGAGATATCCCATGTATTCAGTTCAAGTATTCCATCTTGACAATATTTTTTCTTGTAAAACTCAAACCTGATACTCAAGCTGATCAGCCAGTTTCACTCTTGTTAGCAGTGAGTCAATGACTTGCTAGAGGAATATTTTAATGCCATTGTGCTATGATTTAGATCCACACAAAATTCGTGTTTCTGTGGATTTTTTGAAACATCATGTGTGCTGATCATGTTCTAGGACAAAGAGACATCTGCAGAGATCTGTTGTTGGTCTTTGTCACAGAAGACCTTTCAGCCTCAACTGGCCCTGCAACAGAATTGATTTAGTTAATCCAGCTCCTTCTTGTTATCACTACCACCCATCAATTGCAGCTCAGTTTCATGGACAAGGCTTAGAACTAGCTGAGATATGAATATGTTTCCCTGTCACAGAAGCTATAGCTTATTTTGGACAGATGATACAAGGATTTGCTAAAGAAGGACTTAAATATTGACAAGAGCTTCACCATAGCTCATCAGTTAAAACTCCTCTAGAACATCCACTTGATCTGATTACCTGCCTATACCAGAAGAACTGCACAATGTTTATTTGACAGAAATGTTTTCTAGCATGGAAAGAGAAATTGCACTAATGTTCAATATATCATGTGGTTTTTTTTAAGCTGAGAAGTGTGAAGACACCTTTGTTCACCGTGACTGTATCAGTTGTTGTCCACCAACTTGCACATTTGAAAAAGATTGTCTTGGCAGCAATCTGCACTGTTTAGATGGCTGTTACTGTCCAGATGGTAAATATTGTTAGTGTTATTTAAAAAACTATGTGTAAAGCTAGTATCCAACATCATAATGATGTCTGAATAGACTGTGGTTAAAGCCTGAAAGTAATGAATACTGTAAATTCTGCCCTAGCTGTTGTTATTGTCACTGTGATACTGCTCTTTATTTTGAGATAGACATGTATCTACAAAGGTCTCTCAGCATGCAATATCAGTTAAAATCTGGAGCTGTTATTAGTGCTTCCTACAGTAAGATATTGCACAGATTTAGTCTACTTTATCTGAATTATTCAAAACTCCATAGAAATTTTGTTTAAACAGAATGTGTCATACTCTGTACAAGAAACCAAAGTTCCTGAGACCTGTCTGAGCTCTGAGCTCTCTGTACTCACTGGGCAACTGTTTTTTGCTGGTAATTGTTTAAGACTGATGACATGACCTTCTGGCAGATTGGAATATTTGAGTCAGATGGGGGAAGAGCAGTGATTCAGGGTTTGTTAATTTGTTTCGTATCTCATTAATTAACTTCTTTCCCAATAGGTCTCATTATGGAAAATGGAACTTGTATCTCTTTGTCGAATTGTCCTTGTATTTATCACGGAACTGCTTTCCCTGTAGGCTCAAAAATTGAACAAGAATGTAGCAACTGGTATGTGAAAGCCTGTGTGTTTCATCTCTCTAGGATTACTGTCCATAATTAGTTTAACATCATAGTCACACATTTTAAATAATAGCTACTGTATGTGTATCATTAAAATATACAGGCTATTCTGTGTGAATTCAAGGTATATTCATCAACTCAAAGCTACTTGTCTTGCTAAAGATCAGAACACTGTTTCTCTATTTTGTGATTTTTCTTTTTAGTATTTGTGTTGGTGGCATTTGGAACTGCACTGATCATGATTGTCCAGGTATTTGTATTTCTTGATTCTTTTTTCACTTCATAACAAAAATGATGAACTTTTATGAAGACAAGAGAACCATATATGATCCAAGGCTTTTGGCTGCCAATTTAGGAAGAAAGATTAAGCAAGTGGATATTGACAGTAGCTGTGAGCCAGCTGGAATGAAGCTGTTATTTGCCTGATGATACTCATCCTGCCTTTTCCCACTTTCTTCCCCTGCCTCAGTGTGCTACCTCCACTTCTTGTTTTTTATCTCTTGTTTATGCTCAGTGTAATTTGCAAAAGATGGTGTATTTTTGCCTGTGCAGTACCTAGGCCAGGCATAAGGATCTCCTCACTTGTAGGTGCAACTTTATTGTAAGTAATAAGAAAACCATCATTCTGATGCTATGGGATAGATTTCTCTCTTGTAATAGCAGCTCATATTTGAATAATGATCCTTATCTTTAAAGGTAACGTGTCTCTGCAATGAGTTACAGAGGAACATGCAGCATGCAGGTGGTAAAAATGCCTTGGTAGTTGTCTGTCTCAGACAAGATTATATTATGAAGCTTGTGTAAAAGATTTTTTTGCGAATTAAGGAGCCCTCTTTGAATGAGGTAATAAGGCTTAGCAGTTGTTAAGCAAGGCTTGACAGAGTGGATCTGTAATGTAAAAGAATTGTCATTGAGAACCAGTCTTGATGTCTTGTGTGTGTTGTGTGTGCACACGAGGGGTTCATTTTGACTACTTTGGTCTGGTCCCAGGGTCTGAGTTGCTGTTAGTAGTGGGGGCAAGTTAGATGTGCTCCCACTGAGGGATCTAGTTCATGTGCTCTGATGCTACCTCATGGTGTGAATGAAACTGCAGTATGTGGGGATGAGCTGGAGACTTGCTTCAGCAGTGCATTCCTGGTTTGAACTGCAAAAAACCCCAAAATGTGTGCCCTGATGACACCTGCTCCCCTTCATACCTGTGGTAACAAGCAGTTCCATAATACCTAGAAGGATGGAGAAAGAGGCTTGTCCTCTTTTATGCTGGCTCATGGAAGAAAAATGATGAAAAAATTCTAGGATACTTCTGAATTGTCTTTTGTATTTTAATTATAGGCATCTCACCTAGTTAGAGACAAAAGATGCTGCGCATGGACGTGTTCTTTATGAAATGGTACCCCTTGGAAATAATGTTTCTAGCATAATTTGTTTCTAAATGCCATTATTGTTAGATTAAAGTTAGCCTGGATTATATACTTAGAAATCAGGAGAAAGTTTCTTTTTTTTTTCCCTCTCTTACATAATTTGCAGAATAATGATACATTCTTGTGCAAGTGAACATTCTTTATACTTTTACTCTCAAGCTGAGTGCTCCATCATAGGCAGCTCTCATTTTACAACATTTGATGGACGTCATTTTACCTTTCTTGGGATTTGCCAGTACATTTTGGTAAAAGGCACTGGAAAAAACAAATTCACAATCACTTTACAAAAAGCACCTTGTGGACAGGTAAGCCACATTTTTTTTAAATGTTGAAACAATCAGGTTCATCCATATTTCAGGCAGTCTTCTATGAGTTTTAATGTAAACTACTTGGTTATGTTAAATAGAAAATATAAACGGAAACCATCTTACAGCTGTATTTTGTAATTGTGTTGCAACGTGTTATATTGCCCTTTGTAAAAGCTATTGCAACTTCTGAGGGATGAAGTCTAAAGAGTTACTCATTTATGCACATTAAAGTTGTATAAACACCTTTAGTTATGGTACCAACAGATGTCAGGCTTTGGAAAATCTGCTGTTGGCAGCACTGTAGGTTTAATACATCACTATTTAGGCAAGGTTTTTTTTTTTTTTTTGTAGCTTTAGATTTTTATTTGATATCTTATATTTAATTTGTTGGAACAATGCTTTTCCGAAAACCATCTGAAACTAGGCACCACACACACTTGTTTGAAAATATTTTGGCAGACATTCAACAACAGGCTTCAGCAATAAAGGTGCTTATAAAGAGTACTTATCTGTACTGAGAGTGGATTTAATGATGCTGTTCGACTCTCAGGAGAAGGGGCTTTGAGACTGTGACTCAGAGCTGACCAGGTGCTGGGGACAGGGATGGCTGAACACCTCAGCAGGGAGCAATGCCCTGCTCTGGGACTGTCTCTCATGTCCTCCCTTCAAAAGCTTGATTATGAGCTGGTGCCTCTCTGCCTTTCTTGTAAGCACCTCCTTCTCCTGCATAGGTGTTGAGACAGCTGTTTCTGTATTTCAGCTGGCTTCAAGCATGAAATGGTTGGTTAGGTAGCCACTGAGAAACAAGGTTGCCACTGGTCATAATGCTCTGTACAACTGTAGGCACCTCGAAAAGTTTCTGGATGAAAACAGAAGGGTCCCTGGGGAGCATAAGACACTTGGTTTCAGCTAATTCTGTATTGGCTTTTGTCCTGTACTTGAGTTCATAAATTCTGTTCATAAATTCATAAATTGATTGCACACTAAAATGGTGTGTGTGTGACATAGTTTATAGGAGATGATTTTTCAATAGATATTTATAAATTATTGTAATGTAATACTAGAGAATTTATATCCTTTTTGTCTGTAATCAGAAATCATCACTACAGTTCAAGGTGAGAAACACCTTAATATGTGCCAAAGTTCCTTTTCCTGCATTGCTGCATTTGTGCTCTGGTTGCAGCAGCTTAATCCAGATAGGGTCAGACTCTTGCTCTACCAATGGTTAACCCATGAATGAGCAGTACCCAGGATGGCCATGCAAATATGGAATTTTGAACCCAGTACCAGTTCCTGGGGACCTCTGTCCACTTACAATTATACTGCCATAATAGCTAAAATGCATTCTCCTAGCATATAGAGATTATACATAAAAAATATTTTGTTATGTTGTACATTACAATTTTGAGTGCTTTGTTTAATGCTTTGAGCAATAGTTTACAGCTGATTTACCTGATAGCAGTTCTGATATTTCCTTTCTATATGCTTTCCCCCCCACCCTGTTTGTTTGTTTGTTTATTTTCCCTGTTTCTTTGGTTCTGTTTTCCACAATAATATTAATGTCATTACCTGTTTCTGATGGTGAAACTTGTTTCTACTTAGAACTTTGACCACGCCTGCATTGAGTCTATAACACTAGTTCTTGAAGATGATGTGAGGAAACAAGTAACTCTCACAAGATATGGTCAAATCCAAACTGTCCCTAACCAAGTTTTTAACCTCAATGGTAAGTGTATGGAGAATTACCAGAGTTCTCATTCTGTCTCTTATACGCTCCAGAACTTTTTAATAATATCATCTATGAAGAAAGAATTTCTTTAAACATAGCCTATAAAAACACATGATCAGTTATTTCTTAGAACATTAGTAAAAATTATAGGAATTTAGTTTTATCGTCTGTGAAACAGTTCTTCATTATGCCCTCATTTCATTGCATTTCTTATCTTACAGAGTACCTAGAAACTTCACTCATTTTGTTTGTGTTTAGGGGCAGAGAATTAAGAAAAAGCAAGGAGGTGAAGAGACCTTGATGCTTGTTTAAAACTTTTTAGACTAAATAGAGTGGAATAGAATCTATTTGCTCCCATGAGATCTGTATTGATTTTCACTGCTGACTCATGTTGTGATTTCAGACAGGTTACTTCGCATTTTCAGAAAGTAAAATAAAATAAACCAGCCTTAAAAGCACGTTGTAAAATCAAACACTGAGGATAGAAATGATATTGCTAAATTTTGAAATTTACAGTGACCAGTTACTGAAATTTTAGTCTCTCGCTGAAAGAATAAAGTGAGAGTAAAATTCTTACCCAGCCTTCAGCAAAACAGAGTTTAGGGAGTCCTACATTGGTGATTTCAGTAATGTCTTCATAGAATTTGTCCAGTCACAGTAGTACTTTTGGCATTCATAGCTTCCTATGGCAATGAGCTTCATAGTTCAGTTATGCTCTATGTTGACAGTTCTGATTCATAATTTGATTGGTAACTGCATTTTATTTCTTTTGAATTAGTCCGTATTCACTTTCTTGTCTCTTTACACTGTCTGCAGAAAATATAAGCAATTAAAAATATTTCAGTGTCACATTCTTGATAATTGTGTGTCTCTAGTAAGTCTGATCCCCTAAGGACATCTTTAAGGATTTTACCTTCCTCTCTCAGTTTATGCACCTGAGTCTGTGTGTGTGTGCATGTGTAGAGGCTGCTTACGAAGGTGGATCTACTTTAGGCCTTCAGCTGCAAGTAGCCCAACAATGTATAGCAAATGAATGCTGTGACTGTGAAATTTCCATTTCCTCACACAATAGATTTGTTGGGAAGGAAATCTGGGAATCTGATAGGGGCTCAGTTCACATGCAGTACAAGGAAGGAGCTATACTGATGTCATGTCAGTAGTGGTAAGAGAGAACCTTCTATCTAAAGATTCAATACACTTTACAAACATTTGTTACTTTTATAATATCACTGCAGACTAAGAAACAAGAGGTTTCATGTCTTGCCTTCTCATTACCAGAGGCTTGCAGTTGCATTGCTTTCTTCTAAAATAAAAAAAACCAGACAGATGCAAACATGGTTTCTAGATAACTCACAGATACAGAAAGGTGTGAGATTTTTTTTACTGTCAACAGTAGCTGATTCCAATTTGTGATTAATTCCTGATTTGTGATGTTACTGGAAATAAGCTCAGATGGAGAATGGGTGAGGATATTTGTCTGATGGTGAGGTTGTGCATAGTTTTTAATTTTATTTCTGGGTTTTAATTTTTTTTTTTCTTAATGGATAAACCATTACAACCTGGAAGCTGGGTTTCAGTGACTTTTTTTTTCTTCTTCTTTTGCTATGTTCAGGGGCTATTGAAATTCAGAATGTATCCTCTTTCTTTGTTCAACTGAAAACTAGTTTTGGTTTGAAGATACTGTTTGCTAAAGATGGAGAGAGGATCTATGTTCAAGTTGATGTCAGATGGAAGAGAAGAACCTTAGGGCTATGTGGAACATACAATGGAAATTTAAGAGATGATTTTCTGTAAGTTGCATGCTGTACATTTATATCATGTTTAATAACAAGTGAAAAGTTCTGTTGAACATCATCATCTGAGTATTTAATTTTGTTAATGTTTTATTAAACTATCCAAGATAAAATGTCTTTATTAAAATAGCCACTTTTGTAAATATGAAACTCAAAAATTTAGGCATTCTCAGATGTTTTGCTAAGTAATTACAAAAAGCTACCATATTATTTGTAGAAGTTACTGGATGATGATATTATTTGAATGCACTTTTCCCTGTCTTGATGCTCCCTTATCTTCAGAGAAAATATATGAGCACTGAGATAAAAAGTGGGTGATAATCAAATAGTTGACACTTACTACTGCTTGATTTTCCTCCCCATATCAAGTTACAATGTAAAAGCAATGTAATTCTGAACCACAGGAATATTTTAATTAGAAGGGCACACTTTCCTTGCTTTTTAACCTTATTTCCTCCAAATTTCCTCAAGCTATAATGTCATAAAAATTGTCTGCACAGCAGACTTGGAGTCTAAGATCATTTTCATATAAATAAAATATTGAGGAAAAAGTTTCACATGCCCTCTCTTCTTTTGTACCTCAGAGATGGAAATTCTTTTGGCAGGTTGACTGTTAAATGTGAATATGCATCTAAGCCTTTTTAATGAGCTTGCATCCTCACCCATGTAGACCCAGGATTCTTGCAGTGTTGATATTTTCCTTTGCAGATCTCCAGCAGGGATGATAGAAGGGACCCCTCAACTTCATGCCAATGCATGGAAGGTATCCTCAGCTTGCTCCATGCCTGTCAATATTCCTGTGGTTGATCCCTGCAACATGAATCAGCAAAATGGTATGTTTTCACATCGCAGTCTAGACTTATGTATCTTATTATTATGGGACAGTTTTCCTTTTTCCTTTTCTCTGTGAAAGAGTTGCACATACATGTATTTCAGTTTAGATGTGCATTTTCTTTTCTTTCTTTATTTTTCTTTTTTTCTTTCTTTTTTCTTTTTTTTTTCTTTTCTTTTTTTTTTTTTTTAGGCAAATACAATTTTGCCATATATTTAACATGTAAAATGAAGTAAGTACTTGATAAATAAAAGCTAGTTGGTCATTTAGTGCTGGGCATACTGGCTATGAGTACTAAATATACATGCAGATTTTTAGCTCTTTTATGGTCCTGTAAATGATGCCAGTTGAGAAGAAAGAGTTGATATATGATTGCTACAGAAAGTACAGGAGACAGTGTTGAGATCAAAAGTCCTCAATGCTTATTGCATTAAAAATTTCTTTATCCTCCAGCTATGTTCTCTGACAAAAACTGATGCAGACAATTTGAGAGGCTTGAATTTGTTCAAATTCCTGAGAAAATATTTAGTTTTGGCTGGTTGGCATGCCTACCAGCTTGTGTTGAACTTTCACTGTCTCGTTTTTGCATTGCTGCTCTTTTCAATTAATGAAGACAATGGGTAGACTGTAGTTGCCAATTGTGACAGAATATAGTCTAATATTTTTAATATTTCAGAAATTAGATCTCACTAAGAATCTGGGATTTATCCATATTTAAAGCCTGTTGAAGCAAGGCTAGAATAACAATAAATCTCTTTTAATGTGGGGCATTCTAAAAGTTTTTTATGCCTTTCTTGTCTGTCTTCTAAAAACAGCCAGATCTCAGCCAGAACAGCTCAGAGCCTTCATGCCTCACCCTCAGTTCTGTGCTAGCTCGGTGAAGGTGGAGTTTGACATAAATGGGAGCTGCTTAGAGCAGGAGGGTGGACTGCATGAGTTTCTGAGGGTCCTTTCCAGCTTGAATTTCCCCATGATCCTCTAATAATCACTGTAAAAAAGCAGTGGAGAGTGAAGTGATCCACACCATGCTACAAGCACAGGCATCTTTTCTGGTTCTGAGATGACATTGATCTGATTAAAATAAAAAAAAATAAATTATTGTTTGCTTGGTTACTTATTTTGTCAGGTTAATTTTCAACCGAGTCAAGTTCAGTCCTCGAATTTAATATATTGAGAGAATCCATAAATGCGAAATCCTTCTGTCAATGTGTGTATGTGGAAATGAACATGGAGGTTGAAGGGAAGGTACATTCTTTCAGCAGCAAAAGTGGCTTAAATATAATAATCCATATCAGCGTTCCTTAGCTATTCCACCACTTGTGGTGGTAGTCTGCTTCAGTGGCCAGAGGGCCAGAGGAGGGTTTGCTGCTGCTAGAATGTGTATGGCCAGCTTGGGATTTGCATGCCCTCGAGCTCTACTTTGTAATACTTCCTGAGACCACATGCCTGGAAGTACATGGCCATTGTTGATGTTAAAGCTAAATGAATGTCGAGTAGGAAAACCATATTCCAAGCTTTGGGGAAATCTTTTAACTGCTCTTTAGAAATATATTATTTTGGCATTTAAATTTCCTGTTCTATAAGAGAAAGGCATAAATGTTTTAGTACAGTTATGTTTATCTTAAGTGAAGTTTGCTTTTGAGGGAGTTGCTTGTAATATCAATTTTAAACTATGGAATTTTACAGTTGTATGCAAGTGTTTATTGCACAGCTGGCTATGTTTGGTTTTTTAATATGCTGTGCTATTCATTTGACTGTGATACTAAAATGGATCTGGCTAAAACAATGTCACCTCCTCTTAGCTGGGTATGCATCTCACTGTGATGTCATCAACCAAGACGTTTTTGCTCCCTGCCATGCCTACATCAGTCCAGGGTTGTACTACCAGCTCTGCCGCTTCGATGCCTGCAAATGTGGAAGCAGCTGCTTGTGCAATGCTTTGGCACACTATGCTTATGTCTGTGGCAAGCACGGTGTCATCGTTGACTTCAGATCTCATGTTTCTTACTGTGGTGAGTAGCATTTCCACAATGGAAGATCTTTTGTGTAAAACTCTACAAATTTCATTCACTCCACAAAATACAGGGGTTGGCTTCTTTTTCCTGGAAACTAGACTTGTGCCGTGGTGCAATGATGTACTGGGGGAGAATGGTAACAGCCTTTACATTAGGCATCTGAATTTGGGCCCCTGAGCTACCTCACAGGGAGGTGTCTGCCCTTTCTATTGGTCAAACAGAGAAATGCAATACTTTCTTTTAAGCCCTAAGTCATATGGAAGCCCCTATTAGGATAAAGTAGTCAGGGAGTGGCAGGAGTGGAGACACTCCCTAGGAGAAGGCAAGCTGGGCTGGCACGGGCTCCCTAGGGTGGGCAGAGCAGGGTGGGCACTACTGACTGGACAAGTAGGATACACTAATGATTTAAAGCAAAGCATTTCACAGGATCTTAGAGTGTCATGAGTTGGAAGGGACCCACAAGGGCTAGTGAAATCCAACTCCTGTATTTCTGCTTCTAAACCATATAACAATGCCTCAGCCTTAGCTGCACCATTCTTCCTCTCTTGGAAGCCTGAATTACTAGATAAATGCCCAACTGAACATATAGAAAGAATAGAAAGCTACTGTTTAAAAAACTGATTATTCCAGTCAAAGAATTATTTTAACACAAACCCACCTTAATCTAAATATTTCTGACTTAAAAAATTGGTAAAACAGCATATGTTTCTCATGCATTTCAGCTAAACCCAGTGCAACAAGAGACCACTTTGCTTTGATTTTTTTGAACTTCCATGACATACTGCTTTGTTTTCTATTTTTCACATTTTAAGAGTATGCTGTTCTCCCTTCTTTCTTACTCTTTTCCTTCCAGCTGTGATGTGTCACAGTGGTATGCTTTATCATCAGTGCTCTTCTTTTTGTAAACATTCCTGTGCTTCACTTTCTGTGGCAAATATCTGTGCTGATGACTGTGCAGAAGGATGTAATTGTCCTGATGGGAAATATTTTGAAGAGTCCGTCAACTTTTGTGTCTCAATGTAAGTAATAAAAAATGGAATATATGTATGGGCACATTTTCCTCTTTCCAGCAAGATTTAAAGTGGCTTTGCTGCAGTTTCCCTCAAGATGTGGACTGCCTTGAGAAGATAGCAAACAATGTGTGAAAATTTAATGTTCTGTCATACTTATCAATAGTGAGGCCTCATCTGTCACTGTGTGTACATACATCTGCTTCACTTTAGTGTCAAACTGCTTTAGAGAAGGGTAGTGAAACTTTTTAATTAGTGGGATAGCATTTTCATGTGAAAACTTTGTTTTCCAAGTTTAGCACTTGGGAAAAAAGCGAGAAGACACTATAGAGTAAGGGAAAGTATGGGAAGAGCAGCCAGAAGTGTCTTTTCTTTGGTCTCACGATGCAAACCTTTTCAGTTAAATGGGAGGAAATGGTCAATGAAAGGAAATAGTTTTAGTATGTTGCATATACAAAATTTTATAGCTTACCACCATGGGTTGTTACAGAGTTATTTCTGTTCATTGCAACATATATTTTGAAAAGATCAGTAAAGTTCATACTGTAGGGATAAAAACTGTTTTAAACTATTCAAGACTGAACTAACTTCTTGTCTGCATATTTTTTCATGGTTTCTAAGTAATTCTGTTGCTACTTCTAACCCGTCTGGCTCTTATCGCAGAGTTAACAGATTTTGCTATGATAATTGCTCTAGTTCATGATTTTAACAATACTTTGAATGGGAACTGCAAGTTTTCATTCTACTCCCATAACTGGGAAGAAAAAGTCCTTTCTATTAGAATAATGCACAGAATTAGAAACAGCAAATATAAAGCACAGAGGCTGAGGAAAAAAAAAGTCTGGCTTTGTTGAAGATGATTTGAGTTTTGCCACTGACTTCAATACAGTCTGAGTGTCATCTTTAAGTTTTTGTCTCTCAAAGAATATTGTACATCCAAGAGTTGAGCTGATGGGTTAAGTTAATGTTACGATGTGACCTGTATATCATAACAGCTTAATAAATAGAGGGCCCTTAAATCCCATTTCATCTTGTTTTTCTACCTAAATGCATGAATATTCTTTTAATAGATCTGGCTGTCATTGTCGTTACAAAGGAAAAGCCCTCCAGCCTGGAGAAATCCTTCCTACTCCAACAGGCTCCTGGTAGGTTTGAGTGCAAGAGTTTTATCTCTCTTGTATCAGAGTTTGGATGCTACTTTAAGTGGTTTGAAAATTTTTCTCATGTAGATTGAAAGTTTATTTTCAAGACTTTTGTAATTTTTTTTCCCCACACTTAGTAGAAGGGAGCCTAGTATAAATCGGATTATGTAACTGATTATTTTAATAAAATAATTCTAGAAAATTCTGCAAGCCATGGTGGATAAGGTTTTTGTGTTATATTGCCTGCATCCTGAATCACCTGGCCCTCCATTCTCACAGGGGTTGTACTCAGATTTTTTTTATTTCAGTGGAAATTAGGAAATTACATGATACACAAACTATGAATTTAGGCCCTCTCTACAGATCAGGAATTAGAAAATACCAACGAAACATAGAGCATAACTCAAGCTTTTGGATTTTAATCCTCTTTCTTCTCCTAATTTCTATTGTTTAAATTAGGTTGAATTGTATAATCTTTTAGACATGGTGGCTACAAAACATTTTTCCCTTGAATAAACATGGGTTTCCTTTTCTTTTCTAGCCAATGTTTGAATGGAACAGTGAAATGTATTGAAGCCACTACAGAAAACATAGGTAATTTGCAGTCTTGTCCTATATAAAAGTTGCACAAACAGAGAATTTGATATTGAATAGTAATTTGGTTTTCTCCTCATATGTATTTAAATTATGAGATACTTTTTATCACAACATACTTAAAACAGGAAGTTAGAAGCACAAATAGTCTTGGGTTTTTTCCCCCTTTTTCTGGGAACTTGGGAAATTAAAAGAAATAAATAATTGCATGTGACATCTAGGTCAATGTATTCACATTGGAATACCTATAATTAGCCTCTGTCTGTGTTTAGGAAGCTTTAAGACCTTAATTTCTAGAAAGTAAATTTTAAAAATATATTTCTAATGGATTTAGAAGTACCTTGATAATTATGCCACCTCTAAGGGCTTTTTCTGCCTAAGGTATAATGGCTCTATCATTAAGAATGGACTGTGTATGAGATCCAGGATGCATGAATCCATATGCTTAATATTATTTGTTTTTTATATTAGAACATATATTAATTTTATATACCTGTAATATAGATTATGTTACAGACTATATATTAATTTTATATACCTGTAATATAGATTATGTTACAGACTATTATTCCAATTGCATTCTGATATGAACTGTAATGTAATGTGGGATCTCTTGTGCAAACCTTGCCATGAACTTCTCCTGTGTCCCCTCACCACCCTGTGCAAGTGGCTGCATTTGCCCCCCGGGGTAAGCTTTGATGGAACAACCTGGAGCACAAGCCAAATGCATATTTTCCACTGTTCGACTCTGAAAATTTCTTTTTGCTTCATAAATTCCAATGGTATCACACTTCTAATTTTGAAGCTATTGTTCTATAAATTGTCACAGAGGCGCAGTAACAGCTAAAAGGCCATCAAGATATCCAGTTTACTACCATTCCAATTGGCTGGTATTTGGAACTGTCTGGACAGGAGATGATTTCCACCACTTGCACACTGTAGTTTATTTGAATGTAAAAGCAAACATGACAAAAAATTTTGATGTAAACCATTTGTGCTCCTGCTTATTGCTTCCCAAGTCTTTTTCTCGCCTGAATTTCTACTCAGGCTTACAGTGTCGATGCCAAACTTGGGCAGGGAAGGCAGGTATAAGGACTGGTTTCTGCCCTATTTCCTTTCATTCTCTCTGTCCTTTTTTTGTTTTCTTAGCTCCAGTATTTGGATTTGGTGCCCAGAAGCAGTCTGCTGAGCCTGGCAGAGGTCAAATCCAAGTATAAATTCTAAAAACTTCTATTGTAGTTTGTGTCAGGATCGATCACCACTTCCTCCATTTGTTCCCATTCCCTCCTGACACCTCCTGTGTGCACTTGCAGATTGAGGAGTCAAATATGCTGTGCAAATTGCTGTAATTGCTGCTTATCTCAGGTGGAGTGCTCCCCTTTTTTTCTCAACTTTCCATTTTATTTCACTATGTGTGTAGCCATTGGTCTCCTGACAGTGTATCAGTTGTGCACAGCTCAGAGTATAAATGAGACTGTCACCATTCCCCTTCCAGCACTTTGTGATGTTCATAGATGACTAAGCACTGGTGAACGTACAGATTTCAGGCATAGCTATTTAAGATTTCACTAGTTCCTGCCTCTTATTCTGTAGTCCTCTAAAACCTCTGCCTCAACTGAGAACTTAGCTCTCAGGATCATTAATGTTATGGGAATAAGAAATTATTATAAGCACAAAAAGTACATGAATCTGTAAAATAAATAAACTAGTAATACACTGAAACATCACAGTGATATTTTCATGAAATTAAACTAGCAATATTGACTTGAAAGCTCATTTGAAAATTTGTAGAAACTAAAATTAAAGTTAAAAACAGAGCTAAAGCCTTGCTTTGACAGTCATACCATTTCAAATTATTACTTGATTGTTTTCTGAAATATAACAGGAGTACAGACAAGCAAAATCCTAAGTTTCTGTCAAATAATAGAGTAAAACACATGAATTATTTTTATTTCATAAGAGAATAAACACTCTTTTTGCCATTAAGTTGAAAAGTAAGTGTATAACACTTAGTGCATTTAGTAATGTTCTTGTTAAATTGTACTTAATTATGCCTTTCAGCCTTATGGTTCCAAAAAGTGAGTTTGGCTTTTAACTAGGAAGGGCCAGCTGTACTATCGTAAAAACTAGTTTCAAAAAGTCTCTTTTTTATGCAAGAAATTGTTAAAAATAAATCTCTTGCTATTAAATATAAGTGGATAAGTCATTAAAAACTTGTTGTGGGACATTCTACTGTAATGCAGTTTTTTTAATTCTCCTGAGTTGTCATTCTTCTCTTTGGTTCTCCTTTCCCACCTTATTTCTCCCACTACCCATTATTTGACTGAATGACCTAAACTTTTGGGGTGGAGTCCTTAATTCCCCTGGAGACTGGCACCTTATTCTAGCATCCTGGGTATTTATGGTGCTTGAAAAGTAAAGCAGGTTCTGCATGGTATTGAAACCCTTTCCTTTGGAAAACCATGAAATGATAGACTTTAGTATGCAAAAAATGGTCTTCCTAAAATAAAAATGGTTTACATTTTCTATTGTTAAAGCTCTTACACAACAGCTTGTTGTTCTTTAAGTCAGTAGTTCAAGAGATGACAAAGAATTAGAAATGCTGGAAGTCTCTGATATACTGTAGAAGTTGAATAATATAACAGCTCAAACTTTCATGAGGAAATGAGCTGAGAATGACAGTAAATTCATCACCCAAAGATGCACTGGAAGTCGCCCTTACACTGAACTGGAGACATGAGGCTAAACTCAGTTGCAGAAGCACAGAGTAGTGTGGAAAGGGACTTCACGGGACTAAGTTAATCTTATGCCTTTAGGCAGCACCAGCAATACTGATGTTATTCTTGGGAGACATTTAGCTTCTATTGGCTGAGACTAAGTACCTTCCCAAGCCATCTGTTCTGGTGTTTTCCAATCCTTAAAAAATTTTCTGAACACTTGACTCTTTTACTTAGAGCTGATTACTGTTTAATGAAGTAGTAATGGGATGAGGAAAATGAAACTGTCTATTCCTTTATACTTCCAGTGGAACAATGTCTAGATTTTATTTTGAGCCTTGTGTTGCATGATAACTCCAGGAATTGCTCTCCTAAAGAACAGCACTGGGAGTGTCAGGAGCATTTTTGTTAAGAAAGTTAAATTTGCTAAATAGGTGGAAATGAGATAGCAGAATGAGGTTGACCATATATCTGGTTCAGTTATTGATCTAATTAGATTTGACATTTTTTGCATTAAATACCTGTTTGGTCTTAACCTTGTTAGTTGTTTCAGCTTCCCTTATCTAGGCAAGTGACCTCCACTGCGCTTCAGGTGCCATTGGCAGCTCACTGTTCTGCACTCAGAACAGGACCGGCGCTGTCTGTGCGGAGGAGCTGGCACTGCAGTCCAGCTGCTGTCCTGGCACAGCAGGACAAGAGAGCAGCAGAGAGGGAAGGGCAGTCTGGCCACAGCCCCAGCAGCTCGCATGGCACCCAGCTCCTCTGCAGCCTTCAGACAGGAATACCTACACTATCTACACTCCTGCATGGGAACTGCAGCTCACACCAACATACCCCTTTCTAGAGAAAAGGAGAGCTGCAGCTGTGAGCTTGGTGAGGTCTCCAGCTGTGCACAGTGGAGATCACTTGATTTGGACAGTTTTTGCCAATGAAACAATTTTCCTCGGCTGCATGGAAGACTGGTTGCCCTTGATGGGGTTTCAACAATACACGACACATTTAGTTACATTGATCGTCTTTTGGATTTACTCTTTCATCTTAATAATTATTTTATTTTGAAGGATGGCTGAGCACAGAGGGAAATGTTATATTCCTGACAGTTGTCCGTGCACCTGGAAAGACAGAGAATTTCTGTCAGGAGAAGTGATAGCTACTCCATGTTACACCTGGTGAGTTAATTTTCCATACTTTCAAATCATCTGGATCTAGAGCCAAAGTGAAACTGATATAGAAAATGTGTTGAATACTGTGAAAATCAAAAATATAGGTAGTTACAGGATGTATATTTTATTAGGCTTACTGATTGACTTGGATAAGTAGGAGGACCTTGGGGTGAGTGCCTTTTCAGATCTTGAAAGGAAGCTGAAGATATCCAAGTTAAAAAGCAGTCAAGAACAAATGCTTAACTTCACACACATTTTTTAGTCTCTGAGATGAAGATGTGCTATTTTACAGAATAGAATATAATGAAAGACAACCAAGGATAAAAAGAGAGATATGCTAATTTTCTAGCCAAACTATCTTTATTCAGTTAGGTGTTAATTTAATAATGAAAAAAAAAAAATCAGCATGGCAGCTTTTAATCTGTTAAAATTGCACCGGCAAATCAACCGAGGATTTACACTTACACAAGCAAAAATAGAGGATGCCAGCACTACTTTCATACAAATTTGTGTAAGCCACTGAATGGCTGTGAAAGTAATCTTGCAAAAGATCAGCATTAATTTCTTAAACTAATCCCATGTTTGTCTGATACTCTGAAATCTTACAGGTAGCACCTGGAGGTATTTTCCTTTGAAAATTTGCAGACCTTTATCAAAATTTATAAAAAATAGATTTTACATTTATTTTTAATTCATTGTTATTGTACATATGGGCTGATGGCAAAATGTTTAACACTTTCTTGCCATGGCATCACCAGTATCTTCAGAAGCAATTCACAATTTCAGAAGCAATTCTCTGTTTCAAGGTCTGAGAATTTTATTGAATTCACTAATTTCTGCGTGATTTCAAATAAAGAATGCACGAAAACATTTTCTTGAAAATATCCAGCAAATTACTGACATTATGAGGAGTCACTGATTGTTGGTTTTCCTTGCAGTGTTTGTAGGAGAGGTGTCTTCAACTGCACCAGTTACCCCTGCCCTGCTGTGTGCACCATTTATGGAGACCGACATTATTACACCTTTGATGGACTGGAGTATGATTATGTCAGTGACTGCCAAACTTACCTGCTAAAGGTAAGATGATTGGCCATATGGTTTCTTGTGTCCATGAAAAAACATGTATTTTGAACCTATAGAAAAATGCATTAAGAAAACACTTGTAGAACAGATGTGGAAGAAGAACCTGTACATGACATTTTGTGCTCATCTGTTCGAAAATTATATGTGGGTATGCTCTTCCATATCTCTATGGTTTAGAGAAGAGGAAAAATCAATGTTTTCTGTTCTACCTTAAGCATGCTTTTGTCACAATGAGTAATGAAAAATACTATAGAAACTGTTAGAACTGGGCATAATCCATAGATTTATTTAATAATTATCTATAAACTTTGCTTGGTCTAGGGTTAGTGATGAGCTCAGACTGCTTGGTATTCTTCTTGAACATGACCTGCATCAGATCTGGATTTTATGTGTATAATAATATCAAACAAGATGATTTCATAATTCAACAGTGAAATCATTCATTGAGATTGTCTGGCAGCTACATGCTAATGTTCCTCGTAGCACACACTTAGAGCACATTGTTAGCTTTTTGTTTAAAGATACCATTACTGACATTTAAAAATATAGTCTATTACTAAAACCACTCTTGTTTATTATAATTATTGCTATTTTAAGATTAAGTGTTCTCAGTTACTGCAGTATGTTTAGAAGAATACACGTTTTCCTGACTGTCTAACTTAGAGAATAAAGCATAGCTTCTCAACAAAGACTACTGTAAACAGGTTTTTTTAAGTATGTTTTAGTAGAGTATTCACAGCTGTGGAATTAATTACATTGGTTCCAGATTTTTTGTGTGTGTTTAAAAAGAAAAAAGAGAGATTTGAAAAAGATAATAATACCTCATAGCAGATTCCTGGCATGTATCAATTAAGCTCCTACTCTTAGAGCTATATGAACCTTTGTACAAGCCTTTCTCCTTTAAGATGCAAAGCCTTTCTCCTTTAAGATGCAAAAAATAAGGGTTACTTTACCTGAAAAATCATCTTGCCTGTATGATGATGTGGAAAGGTAGGTTATAATTTCTTAATTCTTGTGCCATTTGTTCAGAGAGGTTTGTAAGACAAATCCATGCTCCCTTTTCAAACTTTAGTATGATACTGGAATGTTTGGCTTTTACAATCAAATATCACCTGTCACTCTACTGTGTAAGAAAGAGCCTATCTGGAAACAAACCGTGGGGAACATTTGGCATCCAAGAATAAAGTTGGCAGCCGGATAATTAAGGCACGTGGCACACTGCCAATGGGCCATCCTTCAGGTGAACATGACACAAATGATGAAAATTCTGCCTACACAGATCTGCTTTTCAGACTTCCATTTTTCAGCTTTTCAAGCTTAATTTTTTTCCCAAACTCAGCTCATGTGAGAAGGTATAGCCTAATTTGTTTACAATTTTTTCTTTCTTTAGTATATGGAAAGCTTTCATGACCTATATTGAAGGACTCTTTAGTATATATTAGGAAGTGCATAATTATGTCTGGAATGGAAGATGGATCTGTGGGCTAATTTTTGACTGGGAAATGTTTTGAGAATTTTTAAGGGGGGATATTAAAAAGAAAAAGAAACAAAGAATGAGATTATATGGAAGATACCCCTGAGTTTTGAGGGAACTAAACCACAGAACTGATGATCTATGTGATGTGCATTCCCTGCAATCAGAGGAATGGAAGATGGCAGGGTTGAAAAAATACTTTAAAATGACTTAATGGCTGAATTTGACAGGAGCAGAGCAATATGTCTGATTTATATATGAAGGAACTTAACAGAAATTTTAATAAAGAGAAATTGCCATGAGGAAAGAGTTGAACCATCCCTTTTTTCTGTTTTAATAAAAGAAATTCATGCATGATGAGTCTTCTGAGTTATTCTGTGAAGGCAATAAATACATGGATAAGGATAATTAAGTTAGTATGTGTGTATTTTAGCTCAAAGACCTTTTGGAGAAAGATTTCAAAAAATATTTTTTAGAAACTACTCTCATATAGGATGAGAACTCATCCTATAGAATAGAATAAATATTCTCAAATAATAAATATTGGATGGGTCAGACTGGAATGGACCACAGTGGGTCATCTGGTCCAACCTTCCTACTCAGGTAGGGTCATCCTAGAGCACATGGTGCAGGACTGTGACCAGACAGTTCTTCATTATCTCCACACACTCTCTGGGCAATCTGTTCCAGTGCTCAGTCACCTGCACAGTAAAGAAGTTCTTTCTGATATTAAGCAGAACTTCCTGTACATCTCTTTCTGCCCATTGCCTCTTGTCCTGTTGCTTGGCTGAGAAGAGCCTGGAAACATCCTCTGACACCCTCCCTTAGATACTTATAAACTTTGATGATGTCCCCTCTTAGCCATGTCTTCTGGAGGCTGAACAGGATCAGCTTCCTCAGCCTTTCCTTGTAAGAGAGATGCTCCAGTCCCTTCATCATCTTTGTTGCTTGCTGCTAAACTAATTACAAGTCATAGGGTAAAACACAGGAATAAGTGGCCTATTTTTGTTTTTAGAAGGGAGAAATCCTGGTGAAATCCCACAGAGATCCATGCTGAGACCTGCACTCAGCATCAGAAACAATTTTGAAAAGGTGAGGATTGAGGTAGAGAATTCTCATGATAAAAATTCAGTATGAACAGCTGAAACAAAAGTTTTAAGGGACCTTATGGTAGAAAACACTGCATAATAAAATAAAAGAGGAAATTCAACAATGAACAAGTGCGTATCAATGAACAGAAAACAAAACCCTGTAACTACATTACATGAAGTGAGGCACTAAATTAGCTACTATCATGCAGCAATGGAATTTTAAGTGAGAAAAAGAAATTAAACACAATTGTACATCTTCATAATAGAAGCCTGAGTGATAATCACATGTGCTTTTATTTATATGTACACAATTACACTACACTTGTACCACATCCTGATGTGCTTAAGCTGCATTGTATATGCCAACATGGAAACATGATGAAGCTGCTTTTGTTTGAAGTACTAAGTTTTCTTCCTAGAGCAAGGTTTCCATGTCTCTCTCTATAATCCTCTTCCCTGATATTGTGACGTTTTAAATAGTACGATCCAAGCCATACGAGTCTACCTTGGGCTACTATTTGTTGAGAAGGTATGCAAGAGAGCCCTGTCTCTTTCAGCTTGTTATCCAAATAGAGAAACCAGATGAAAGGTGGAAAAATATATATACAAATGCAAAATTTAAATTCCTTGCCTAACGTCTTGGCAGGCACAGCTATCCAAGGGAGTAGCACCTAAATCTGTTCTACAAACCTTTTTTTTTGTTTTTTAATACAATCATCGAATCACAGAATGATTTGGGTTGGAAGGGATGTTTAAAGGTCTTCTAGTCCAAACCCCCTGCCATGGGGGTGTGTGCTGTGTGCTTCGTTTCCTGCCTGTAAGATATTACAGATTTCACAGCTGCTAATACACATTCCATTGATTTAATGCTAGTTTGCAGTGCTGTTGTGAGGCTGATTTTTATGGATTACATGAAATGCTCATCAGACTCCTGAAACTGAAGCAGCTAAAGTGGTTGTAGTATTGTATATACAAAACTGTAATAAATTTGTCCTTTCCCTTTTATCCTTTAATTTTTTCCTGTAAGCAGTAGACTGCTTTGTTTCTACTAATAGAAATACCCTGAAGGTGTTTTAGCAGGGCAATAAGGGAAGTCATAGCTACAATCAGTTTGCTGGCATATGAACTCTTCCCAGATATAGAACTGAGTGCAAGAATTATAATCTGAATCCGTCATCCCCAGAGGCATAATAATGTGTTGTTCCCATCCATGTTATTAGCCCTCACTGTTTGATGTGGCTGTTAGCTTTCCTAAATCTGATCTGTTTGAACATCTCTTTAATTTGTCATCATATTCCACTGTACCAAACAAAGAACTCATCCTTACCTTTATTATGTTTTTAATAAGGAGCCCTTGTGTTTTTGTGGGAGAAAAATCAGGTGTAAGCTTTCAGCCAATTATGAAACTTGCTTGTTTTCAACATCAGTGTCTCCTGTCAGGCCGTTTTGTTTAAGGTGACTGTAAGTGTATGAAAAAGCCCTTTATAACAACTTCATCAGATTTGTCCATTGGACAAAAAATATTTAGATCAGCAATTAAGAATATTAGGGCAGTAAAGTCTCATGAAATGTTAACTTCCCTTTTATCAAGGAGTTAGGAGTTACATTACACACTGAGATGTGAAGTCCCTGTAGAGATGAATGGCATTCACAGAGAAGACATCAGTATTTATTTTTAACATTTAAAAATCTTAAATTTAAAAAAAGTTATTTTGAAGATTAAAAGGAAAAAATCTTAGCAGAGCAACTCATTTATCAGTGTAGATGATGTAAACACTTCACTTTGATAGTCTAAATATGAATGATAAAATTAAAGTCAAACAGTTTCTTACCTGAAAATATTTAATTTTTTTTTTCTTCCATTTTCTTGCTTATTGTCTTATTTTACTGATTTGATAATGCTACATTCTTTCCTCCAAAAGATGGGGTTATTTTTCTGGCAAACTTTTTATTAGTTGCAGTCTGTTTCTTCCACTTACCTATTTCATAAACTTTTCCCCTTATGGTAAAATTGATGTCTATGACAAGAGTTGTCCTCTTTTATTTCTGTGATGGTTTTCAGTCCTGCAGCTCAGCATTTTCACTGAGGGTAAAATGTAGGGTCAGTGCATTTGGAGCCCCTCAGACATGTTCACTTCTGTGAAACAGAAGAAATTTTTTTCTCAGAAAAAAATATTCCCAAAACCAAATTATTAGTAGCATTTCTCAGAAAAAATGTTTTCTCTGCTTTGGGGAAGATTTCAAGCAGGAGTTCAAAGGGATAAACTACCCATCATAATGTTCTCAAATGAGAGGGACCTCTGTTGCAATGTTCATCTGCCTTTTTAAAAACACCCCAAACCCCCCACTGAAGTATTTCCACTAACATTAGGTTGTCATGAAGGTCCTAAAGCACAAAAATGAATGAGCACTTTTGTTCCTATATCCTG